CAAATCATTTTTGCATCAAAACGTTATCGTAAATGTATTGATAATTGACTTCCTCAGTAAAATAGTAAAACAACTGCATAATGTGGATCGTATCCAGGGGTTCATATCATCGACGCTTTTGATGGTATCTCTGATCCTGATACAGTGCAAATTTTGCATTGGAGTGTTATCATTTGATCCTGATCCCGCCTGATTCAGGCTCATTGTAGTATCAGTATCATATCAATATCATATCATTATACTGATACATGTATTGATACAACGTCAATGAAGCGAGCTATTTGCATAAATTCGCCATCTGCGTAGGAGTAGAAGGTATCACGAGCTGGAAATCCGATGGTGGGTTGGTTAGATAGCCGGCGAAGAAGATCAAGTAGCTCGTTGTTCAATAGGACAGTATACGGCAGACTAGACGAAAGCAACCAACGGGTTGCTAGTTCGCAGTTCGTAAGAACTGTCGTTAGACCGTGTTCCCCAGGATTTTCGCGTCATCGAGTGACCTTCGTGCATCCGTCGCGCAACATTTTGCACGCGCTGTGCTTGCACGTTTTGTCACGACCTATCACGACCTATTGGAGGGGGTGCACGTTTGGTCGTAGGGTACCATCTTTTGTCGTTGAGCGTAGGATCTCGTTTGGGGCTTATTTAGTGTACGGATACTTGAACTAGTGTACGTTACTCTGATGAAGGTGGCTGCTGCCCGTGCGGAGCTGCCCGTGGGGAGCTCACGCTGGCTGTGATTGATCCGGAGATGTCGAAGGCGGAGAAGCTGCCACCACTCGCTCTCTAGTTGTGGACTGCGATGACGAGCACGTGAGCAGTTGATCGAATTATCATCATTAACGTGCTGAGGAAGCACCGTGTCGTGCTACAGAACGCGAAGCAAAAGCCCAACGGTAAGTAATATGTCTCTGAGGGTGCTCGATCAATTATTGTGACGTGGTTTTCTGTCATTTAGTGGTGCTGGATCCACGCGACATTGTTGCATATGCACACCGTATCGCGGGCACGACATCAGCGCCCAAAGAGTGGCAACCTGGCGTACGTAAAGTTATCACTCGGTTGAGTGTATGTGATGTTGCTAACGATTTTTGGGTGATTTACTATAGAGTTCCCAATGTTTGGATTCATGCCGCCAGCATCACAAGAGCACATGATGCGAGCATGTGTACTCAGTCGTGGCATCGTCGCTGAGATCGTTTCTCAGGACCCGGAGAAATACACGTCTACTGCAGCTAGAGTGAAGCAAGACGGCGACAGTGAAGCCATCGAGAAGCTCAATACCCC